CAGTTAATTTGCTTTTAGGGTAAGACATTAGCTTCTCCATACGACTATGAAGTTTTGTCACTCAATCCCAATCCAGTTTGTCATTTTGACCCTGTGAAACTATGGCTTTTTTTTTGACCTTTTTAATCATTGATCTTTTCTGGAAGCAAAGATGCTGTTTTACTACCTATTAATTATACATTCTACTATTGAAGCTTTATTTTCTTTTCAGGAAAACAAAACAAAAACAAAAAGGTTTTTTTCTCAGTTTTTCTAGTGTCTTTTTCTAGTGTCCTGAAATTTCTAACTGTGAAGTTTGTGTTTTGTTTTGTTATCATTCCTTCTCTTCACTACTTTTTTGCTATTGTACTTTATAAAGTCTTTTCAAGATCTGCGTTTTATGTTAGGTAAGTAAATATACTTTAAAAGTATAGTTCCCTTTTCTCCCTCCCCCCCCTTTTTTTTCCTGTCAGATAGCACATGCACTCTCTGAGGAGAGATAGAGGGAGAAAGAGGAAAGTGAGAAGGAACTCCAAATGGGGAATAGTCATGGCGTAGTCTTGTCTTTATTTTGTATTCTTCTTAGGATTTGGAGCACCTGTGTCCATATAACTAGCACATTTCTAGTTGCTGGATCTAGGACTCAAACTCTGGGTTAAGTCCTATAGGATTTAGATGCACTAACCATCATGTCACAGATGGCTCTGTTTGTCTGCTCTTGAAAAATTTCCAGCCTTTTTTCTTTCTTTCTTTTTTTTTTTTTTTTGAGAGGATTTTAACATAGGGCATATGTCCTTGCCAGAAAGATAGAGACAGAGACAGAAAGTGAGAAATCATCCCCCATGGGGGATGTCTATGCCACAATCCCTTCTTCATTCTCCTTTTGGATCCTGGGCACGAATGCACATGTGCCTGGTGTGAGTTTAAGTCACCGGGTCTGGGACTCTGTGAGTCCAGTGACGTAGCCATTACACCATTTTGCTGGTCCCTAGATCATATTTTAAAAGTTTTTCCAAAATACTTGATGCATTTTTGAGTTAAGTGTGTGAGAAAAGGGTGTTGTGATCACTACCTATACCTGTTGATTTGTCCTTTTCATCTCCTGATTTTTGTTTCATGTATTTTTGTTTGTTTGTTTCATGTATTTTGACTATCATTTTTACATGGATATTTCACATGAATGTTTAGTGCACTCGTGTCGTCTTAGAAGTTTGACCCTTATATCATTACCAGATCACTCTTTTAATCCTGGTATGTTTTCCTTCTGAACTTGATCTGATTTAATACAGATTGTCTCTTACTGTGATCAAGAGCTTTTTGTATTTTTCACTTTTTTTATGTTTGTATATATGAAATGAAAAATCTTAGCTGCCTGACTCAAGTGTAAAGACCAAATTTATGTTCTATATATACTCCTTTTATTCATAGCCTCAACATGATCTTTGTATAGTATTTTTGTGTTTGGGATTTTAACTGATTCATCACAAAGGATTACGTGTAGAATTTTTCCACTTTTGTGTCAGTTTGGTACTGAGAAAGTTTTAAATTTGGAGCATTTTGTATTTTGAACCTGTCCAAAGGACCTTCATAATTTCATGAAAATGGAATTTAAATATGAGATTATTTCTGTGCAGAAATGTATAGTCCTTGAATAGTACTTTTTGATATTATGCATATTTAATAAACTTTCCAAAAAATATTTCCTATAAACAGGGTCTCCAACTTCCTTTTTGTAGGAGTATAATATCGATTTGTGTATTTTTAGTTTGGTACTTTCCATTTCTTTCTATATCTGTTTCTTCACATTTAACCTGTGTGTCTTTAATTTTATAGATTTACATTATAAAAGTGGGTTGTTTAGTTACTATAGCTAGATACATAAGGAGAAAAAATGTTTATGTGACAAACTCAACTTTTTCTTGAGAGAGATTTTTGCCATAGGATGTATGTGCTTTAAGAGAGAAAGACAGATATGGTGATGGAAACAAACAGTGAGAGGGGAATGTACTGCCATAATCTCTTCTCCCGCAAGGATTTTTGGCACATGCACACATGCACCCAACATAATTTTCAGGCCATGATCTGGGACCCAAACTGTGGTCAGCCATGTGGGAGTCAAGCGATTTAACTGCTATGTCACTTGCTGACCCCTATGATGCATTCTTTAAATGTGTTTTTGCTCAACAGAGGGCAGGGAGGACAAGAAATGAATCATTTCCCCATTCCCAGAATGGATGGCCATGCTATAATTTCTTTTTCTTCATTCTTCTCTTGGGACTTCAGGTGCACATAAATGGGCACCTAGAATAATTTTCAAGCCACAGGGTCCTGCACTATGGTCAACCATTTGAGAGTCCAGTACTTCATGTACTTGTCACCATGTCATCTGTCTGCCCATTTGGTGTTTTAAACAAGTTTGACAACATCTTGCTATGTTATGATCCTCCTTTAATTTTTCAAGTAGCTGGAGCTAAGGCATTTTCCATTTTGTCTTACTTTTTTTTTTTTTTTTTTTTAAAGAATTATTTATTTACTTGGGAACTTGCAGTTAACATAATGGCTATGTCGCTGGATTCCCACGTAGTCGACTGCGGT